GCTGCAACCAAAAAATAGCTGGGCGTTGTGGCAGGTGCCTGTAGTCCCAGCTACTTGGGAGGTAGAGGCAGGAGAATTGCTTGAGCCCACGAGTTGGAGGTTGCTGTGAGCTGTGATGGCACAGCACTCTACCCAGGGTGACAGCTTGAGGCTCTGTCTCAAAAAAAGAAAATAATAATAATTGAGCAATTATGTGCCAGGGTCTGCTTATACGGCAGTAACAATGGCACATCTGTGCCTTTGTGACACTTTTGGTCAAACTTACGATGACTATACATATGCAACTACAGGGCTTATGCCAAGAATCTTCAGAAATCTTTCTAAAACAATAGCGGCCATGGGTAGGATACTTAACTCTGCCCCACCACACCCTCCACCCCAGTCCCCCAACTCTGTACTCGTTTTGAAACCCCTTTGGGCAGGTACCTCTAAGTTTCCAGCTGGTCAAAGCAGGAACACTTAGAGCGGCAGAGATGATGTCTGGATCTTCCACAGTGGTTCTTTGCCCCTCGCAGTTAGGGGGGACCCTGCAATTACATTTGTCCAGAGGGCTCTAGGGAGTTTGATATCTGTCACTTCCAGATGGAAGCAGAGAAGAATGGATGAGAATGTCACGTTCTTCTCTGCATCTGCCTGGAGACTGTCCAGGCAGCATATTTGTGCCGGGGTCACTTTGTGCACAGAGCCCCCATCTAGCCAGCCTTGGGCGCCTGTCGTGAGTGAGAAATGAAACCTTTGTGTGTTAAGCCACTGGATTTCAGGTTTAATTTATTTGTTACTTTTCCCATAACCTGACTGACTTTTCCTAATTGGGAAGTTTATGTAAACCAGTATTTTATTTTTCAAGTAAACAAGCGTCTGTGCTGTATTTAGGCTTGTGTTATTTAGTGTGAGGGGAAGAATGAGAAGGTTCCCTTCATGAAGAATGAGTTTCCTGGAGAAGGAGATAAAAATTGCACATAGAATTGCTAGAGAGTGAGAAAGCAGAACATTCATAAAATGTCTGTTTTTGTACTCATTTAGGATATAATATAAAACAGCCCTTTAATGTATAGCAAACGGACTTAGAGCCACATGCTTGCTACTGTGAGTGGACTCAAGCTTTGAAGTCTTCTCTGATCTGGGGTGGTAGTTTACTTCACTTGCTTTCCCTGTGGGACAGCTCTTATAATTTCACAAATGAGAGCATCCCTGCATCCTTAGACCTAAATTAAAAACCTTCCACCAGCTGGGTGTGGTGGCACATGCCTGAAGTCCCAGCTACTCAGGAGGCTGAGGCCAGAGGATCATTGAGCCTGGGCGTTCCTGCCTAGGTGGCCTATACTCACAAGTGGTCCACCTGTTTGTCCACACTGTCCTGGTTAGGGTCTAGTCAGTCTTTACACCTTTGCTTATTTGGTGGATAATAGTACTAGTAATCTGGCTCAGCGCCTGTGGCTCAAGTAGCTAAGGCACCAGCTACGTACACCTGAGCTGGCGGGTTCAAATCCAGCCTAGGCCGCCAAACAACAATGATGGCTGCAACCAAAAATAAAAATATAGCCAGGCGTTGTGGCGGGTACCTGTAGTCCCAGCTACTTGGGAGGTGGAGGCAGGAGAATCGCTTGAGCCCAGGAGTTGCTGTGAGCTGTGATGCCACGGCACTCTACCCAGTGTGACAGCTTGAGGCTCTGTCTCATTAAAAACAAACAATAGTATTAAGTAATCTTTCATTTGCATCTCTTTGGTTACCGATCAAGTAACCAAACAGTTTTGAACAGTTTTTCCTGTTCTCCATTTGTTCTTGTGATTTGTGTTCTGGTACAGTTTTCTTTCAAAGTGCTGTTTTTTTTATAATTGGCTACTAGGATCACGAATTCTGTCATGTAATGTATAATTGCACAATGTATTCTATGATAGCTTTCAAGTTTTATATCATTTAAATTTGTAATTATTTTCCTATATTTGTATTGGTTTGGTGTTTGTATCATCCTTTAAAAATTCTTTCTTCCAGAACACATACAAATATTTGCTAATTTTTTTCTTTAAATCTTTGAGTTTTTTCCATCTAAAACTTCTTTTGGTATGAGGAAGCGAGAATAGAATACTGGCCCTTTTTTCCACAAATGGCTAGTTTATCTACCAAAATCCTTTGGAAAACTCCTCCTAACCTTTTATTTGCAATTTTAACAATGTCATGTACAAACTTTCTCTCTGCATTTGCATTTATTTCTGGATCTGTTACGTTTCATTTATCTTCCTATTTTGGCACCATGACCATACTGCTTTAATTGCCGGGTTTACAATACGCCTCAAGCTTTGATAATGTAAGTCCCTCTAAAAGTGGTATAGGAGGAACATTGGTATTGATATTCTCAGGTTTATATAGAATAGTAATTTCTAAAATGTGATCTAGAGGCCACCTGTATCAGAACTGAATATTTAAAGAATATAAAGAATCTGAATTCCTTTAAATTTTAGGTTCCTTAAGCTCTGTCCCAGAGCTCTCAATATAAGTTGGGCTGAGGAGAGTGTTCTTAAAAGTTTCCCAGCAGGGGGGTGGTACCTGTGACTTGAATAGGGCGCTGGCCCCATATACCAGGGGTGGCAGGTTCAAACTTGGCCCTGGCCAAAAAAAGTTTCCCAGCGGATTTTTAAGAATGCCATGAAAAACTTAACACTTAAATAAAACATTACGACAGCAGACAAGTTCCTCTTGTTTAAATGTTTAAAGACATCCCCTGCCTCTTTTAATAAGTTACATGTATAGACATTTATGTGTGTGCGTATGTATAGTCAGTTATAAATATCCTCAGATTTGACCTTAATATGTGTAATCCCACTCCCTAATTTCACATGTACACATACATCCCAAGCTCCTAATATACTTCATATATCAAAGCAAAATTACTACCTTAAAAGAGCTTTCAGTTAGGTTGTGGAGAAATTCATGTGCACATGGTACAATTTGAGCCTACTTGTGGAAGGCAGTTTGACAGTTGCAAGCTAATCCGAATACAAATTAAGAGTAGAGCACCAGCAATGAATGGGGCCAGGCAAGGAAGGTGTCTTAGGTGGGACAAAGTCCTTATCAGATCATCTGCAACTGGAAGTAAGAACTTGGTGTTTTTCACTAAGAAACAATAGAACATTCTTTAAATCTAGTTGTGCTTCCTGAATGTCTTATGATATATTTGAATGTCCTATAATATTTTAAGGTTATGTTATCAGCAAAGTTTCCACCTGTGCTGGTCTCCTGGGAACACAGATAGTCGTTCAGCTTGCCTTTCTTTAAAACATTATTTGTCTTTATCACTTCCGATCGTGTTAGTGATGCCAATGAAGAAGATGGGGCATTGAATACAGGCTAAGTGTCTCATAACTCTTCCTTTTTGCGTCTGCCACTTGCATGCCTTCAGGTTCGGGAATACCCCATCGATGTCCAAAGTAACCAGCTGCCCTTCCTACGAAACCCAGACATCTTGGTGGGAGAGAACGACCTCACTGCCCTTAGCTACCTACATGAACCTGCAGTCCTGCATAACCTGAAGGTCCGTTTCCTGGAGTCCAACCACATCTACACGTACTGTGGTAAGTGGGGAGGTGTCCTCTGGCTGCGTGCCAGCTTTATACTTGTAACTGTCCTTCAGCTGTCAAGAATCCTAATCTCACTTATCACAAGTACCTCTCTTCTGAGACCCCTGACACGTTTGCAGTCAGTGAATATGGTTTAATTAGTCTGCCCCAGTCTCTGTGGGATGGTTGGTATTAATCATGGCTCAACCAAGGAAGAAATGGGTCATACCGTGTGGTACGATGGGTCCTTGGGGTTAGAGGAGAGCAGTAGGTATAGCACCATGCTTAGCCCCGGGCACCTGCTCTCACCACCCAGCCCATGCCTGAAAATTTCTTTGGCCTGTCCTGGTTTTATGCTTGAAAGGGCTGCCTTTCTTCCTGATCCTCTGTACCAACATGGTGTTTTTTGTCAAATTAGCAAGCAAAATCTATGATAAAAGCTTAAAACAAAAAGTCCTAAAATTATCATTTGGTTTTCATAAAACTTCTTTGCCCACATCCCAAATTTTGGAGTCTTTTTTGAGAGTATTGCTAAGTGGTAGGGCACAAACAGAGCCATACAAATTGTGATGTGAGAGGAAAATCAAGGATCTGGTTTGAGTGAGGCCAGAGTGCCTGTTTGTGGGAGTTGTCCTGGTTGTGCCCAGAGCCCTGCCTGGTCTTGCTTGTGGTTGTGAGTGATGCCGCAGGTACTCTGAGTGTTTCATTTTATGTTCTACTCTGGTTTGGGATTGGTAGGTGAGCTGCTAAGCTCAGGTGAGCTTTTATGCCCGCTTTGGCGGAGCTGTGACTACCATGTTGATTTCAATGCTTGAGAGCTGTTTCCCAAAAGCTCTTCACCCCAACTGCTAGTGGAAGCTTTATTTGAAATAAACTATCAATTATCAGCTTTGTCCATAAGATATTCATTCAATAAGACCTTTAAAAAATAGCTCCCTTTTTACAAGGGGTAAGCAACCATGGCCTCTAAGATGGCCTTGTATCTGCACATAATTACTCAAATGTACCTTAGCCCTTCCAGCTTTGGCTGCTGGAGTGATTTTTGTAGTGATTTTTTTTTGACGTCCTGGTCATCAGGGAAGTACTTGTTTCGGCTGTGGAGGGGCCAGGATATTTTAGGAAAATATTGTCACCTCAAAATTTGAGTTGAATGCTAAACATGAGAATTTTATAGAAAACTCAACCAGCAGCACATGTGAGGTGCTCCCAAGTTTCTGGACCTTGTTTCTTGTCTTTTTGGTATCAAAAGAGGACTTCTGTCTCTCTCCCTGGCCCTTTTCCATTTACTTGGAATAATCTCACCCTTTTCCACTTTAGGTTCCCTCTGTTTCTTTTCAAACATCAGAAGGACTCACGATGTAGGAGACCTCCCCTCTTAGCAATGGCACTTTGCATTTTTGCTGCCTCATCCCCAGGTGACTGGATATGCTTCTGTTTTTTTCTACCTAAGTCAGTGGATCTTTTCACATCCAGAATACAATCTTATGGGAAAGAATAAGGCATATTTCTGTTGTGTTTTGAAGATCAAATTTGCATTTTTCTTTTATAAATTTGTTTTTATTAAATCATGACTGTACGTTGCATTTATGGGGTTCAGTGTACTGATTTGATATAGAGGGTGAAATGCTTACATTGAACTGATTAACACATCCATCACAATTATACTCTTAATAGTTTTGAAATGTACCATTGCAGCATGCACATTAGGTGAGGTGCCCCCAAATACCCTCCCTACTCCTGCCTCCCCCTCTCCTCAAATTTGCATTTTTTTCTTTCTCAACCCAGTGATAAAAGACGATCTGAACCTTACAGGGTTTCCTGATTGCTCAGTCAACTTGAGTTTGAGCCTGTCACTGCATCCCTTTGGGGACACAAGATGTAAGAAAAAAGATACGAGATGTGATACAAAAGTAATAGAAACACACAATGCTTACTACACAAGGCACTTATCTGAGTGTGCTCTCTTTCAATCATTTTGTCCTTAGGACAGCCCAGGTACATGTGTTGTTATTCCCATTTTATAGTTGAGGAAATCTAAGCACTGATGGGTCGAGTAATTGCCAGAACCACATAGTAATCAGTTGAGCCAAGATTGACCTTAGCATACGTAAGCCATAGTCTTTATCCACAAATTGTATTTTAGTTGATAACCCATGCACAGATGAAAAAATAATCTTTCATGGACTTTAAGTCTGAGATAGATTTTTAAGTGTCTCTAATATCGCCTGGCCAAGTTAAACATGCTTTCCTCTCTGATCTGGAACGCTTTGCACATGTCTATCTCAATTTGAGCATTTGTGAGTATGTGTGTTAATGGATGTGCTTATTCCTGACTGTAGGATATTTGGAGTTCTCACCTATATCTTACTCTTTCCATTACCAGAGTCTAGCGTAAAGGCACACCAGTGTCTTTATAGAGTTGGGTAATTGGTGAAGACTTGTTCTACTATCTTCTCATTCTTTAGTTTTGGTATGAGTGGGTGGGTGCCTTAAGCTGATACCAGGTGGCTGTTGTGCTGTCAGAATCTGACTGCTTTGTCTGTTTGCAGGTATCGTGCTTGTTGCCATTAATCCTTATGAACAGTTGCCAATATATGGACAAGATGTCATCTATGCCTACAGTGGCCAAAACATGGGCGACATGGACCCCCACATCTTTGCTGTGGCAGAAGAAGCTTACAAGCAGATGGCCAGGTAAGAAAGACCTGAGCCCACATGTTCTCCTGGGTGGTGAGGGGACAGAAAAAGGGGTTTTCACCCTCCTCTGTGGCTGCCATTCCTGGTGGAGTGGTGAGACTGGAATTGAAAAAGCACCTTAGAAACAAAGCAGCCCAAGTTCTTTTTTGTACCTGATGTCCTCATGTCTTTATTCTTGTGACCTTGAACCTAGAGTTGAAGAACAGTGGCTCTTCAGACTTAGTTCATTTTTTGAGCTGCAGGATAAATCCCTTACATCTCATCTCTCCTTGACTTCCTCTAGGCCCTCCTTCTTCCCTTGCTAATGTAATAGAATCCGTTTGATAGCATCTCCATTTATCCCATCTTGATCTATAGACAATCTCACTGAAGATTCCCTTTTGAAGAAACTAGGACTCTGATACCTTCTTGAGATGCCAGGCATTTGGGGGCGGAACGGAAGTTTCACACTAGCAGCTGTGTATAGCAGTTTGGGGTTTTTAGCCTGCAAGTGGGGTTTTGTTTAGACATTTTAGTAGATGATCTCATTTGTCTTCTAACTTGGGAAGGTAGGTGCGGGTCTGCTCCATCAGAAAGTGGGCTTGGTGATGGGCTATCACTGTTTAGGCATAAAGTGGGGAAAGAGTTTTATCAGTGTTTCAAGGACAAGGCATGTCCCAGTTAACACTAAAATGCTGGATCCTTTCAGCTAAATTCATCTCCAGAAGAGCATCTTACAGCACTAGCGACATGTATAGCATAGTCTTTTTGGTGGGAGGGGAGCTGTTGAGGCTAATTTTAGTGAGAGTTAATGATTTTTGTGGGAGGAGAATCGCTTCTCAGGTGATCTTTACATCAGTGGATTTCAGGGTGTAGTTTTTTAGCCCAGTAGAAGTTTTCATGAGGGAAGACTGTTACGTAGGCTGCCTTGCTGATTTATAGTGTCGTCTTACTGACTTTATCAATTGGTGTATAAAAAGTCTGCTTCATTATAGATTAATAGAGACCATATCCAAAACAGGCCCTGATTGGAAAACTGATAAATCTAATGAACAGAATGATCTGTAACTCTTATTTCTCCTGAGTGTGGAGCTAAAATGATTGCAACCTTTGACCTCTATAACACCGTGAGGAAGACCACATGCTGTATCAATCTGCTATTAGGGCTTGGCCAGGAGTCCCTTAGCTTGGGCGCCTCACTGATGAGCACTTCTTAACTGTGGGGCAGGGGCTGATTGTGTGCGGAGAGAGAGTGTGCACCACGCAGCAGGCAGCCCTGCTCCCGAGCTCCTGTTGGAGGTCATGGGGGTGGCACGGTGGAGAGAGGCCTGGGGACTGGACAGGCTCCTGCTTTGGGAGAATCACTTCAGCGGAGTCTGCATGTGCTTCCTCTGAGGACAGTGACAATCCCTCCTCCTCTAGGGGTCGTTTCTTTAGGGTCCTGAGATAGAAGGTTGGGTGTGGCTTGGTTCTGAATACTTTTGACCATGCCAGAAGTCCTGACAGCTCTCTAAGACTTGGCCTTTTGTGGGTGTCTTCAGCATTGATCGTTTTTCATCCCATCCTCCTCTTTTGGGTGTAGCATTTAGATATGTCCAAGTTGCTGTTCTTTATCAAAGCTTCTTCAGGACCACCTGTGGGTTGAAGAACCTTCTGGTTTCCAGTTTTATCCACACTATAGAGGCACTCGACTGGATGTCTCTGTTCTTCTCCCACCCTCCATGCCTAAAGCTGGATCCATGGTTTTTCTGCCCCTGGGTTATTTCATTTGCTTGGGCCTTTGCACGCATTGGAGGGAAGGCAATACCTGGGAGTCTGGAGTGACGATGATACTATCTGGCCCTTGGGTAATGAATTTGAGTAGCTGGTTGGATGTTAAAGCTGGACCAAAATTTGCTTCCTTAAGGATTTTCTGTAAAGTTTTAAGGTTTATACTTGTTTTACCCATTGAGTCTGAGGGTGCAGCCAAATAATTTTGCTGAAGTACTTGTGTAGTTTTTACTCACGTGCATCAGAAGTATGAGACTAGCAGAGAGCTATTTTTGAATTAGTTAGCTCAGGGTTTCAGTTATTGATCTGGGAGGTACGTAAGAAACCCCAGCAGAATCACTGTTGAGCAGAGAAAGAACAGGCCCATAGATCGGATGCAGGAAAGGTTAGTACTGGATTTCCAACGTGGGCTTTCTGTCAGTTTTGAGTACTAGAATATGTTTGCTCAACGACACTTGCCGACCAGCTGTTGTGTTCTGAAGAACATAACATTTGAGGCCAGCCTGAACAACATAGCAAGATCTTGTCTTGTTTTTAGGCAGGTGTGGTGGCACACGCCTGTAGTCCTAGCTACTCAGGAGGCTGAGATGGGAGACTCACCTGGGCCCAGGAATTTGAGGTTGCTGTGAGCCTGCATAAGAGTTAGAATACTACTCTACTCCTGGGTACGTAAATAGGCACAACCATTATTTTGGAAAATAATCTGGCAGTTCTTGAGAACGCAAAACATAGTTTCCATATGACTTCACTCTTCAATACAGCCCCAAGAGGAACGAAAACACACATTCACACACAAATTTACACATGAATGTTCATAGTAGCATTATTCCCAGTAGCCAAAAGGTGAAAGAAACTTAACAAACTGCCACACACGGGATATCGTTTGACCATAAAAAGGAACAAAGAATTGATACCTGCGGCTCGGCGCCTATAGCTCAGCTGGCTAAGGCACCAGCCACGTACACCTAAGGTGGCGGGTTCGAATCCCCAGCCCGGACCCGCCAAACAACAATGACGGCTGCAACCAAAA